CATTTTCTTAATCCATTCATCAGTAGTGGGGCATCTTGGCTGTTTCCATAGCTTGGCTGTTGTGAATAGTGCTGCAATAAACATGGGTCTGCAGGTGCCTTTGTTATAAGCTGACTTGCATTCCTTCAGGTATATCCCTAGGAGTTGTATTGCTGGACCATATGGCAGATCTATTTTAGTTTTTTGAGAAGCTTTCATCCAGTTTTCCATGGTGGTGGAAATGGTAGCTTACTTTCCCACTAGCAGTGTACGAGGGTTCCTTTTTTCCCACATCCTCACTAACATTTGTGGTTGGTTTTTGTTCTTGATGGTAACCATTCTAACAGGAGTTAATGTGGTTTTGATTTGCACTTCCTTTATGGCCAGGGATGTTGAGCATTTCTTCATGTATTTTTGGCCATTTGGATTTCTTTCTTTGAAGATCCTCTTTGCAGTTCATTTGCCCATTTCTTCATTGGGTCATTGATTTTTTTTGGAGTTTAGCTTTTTGAGCACTCTGTATATTCTGGTAATTTAATCTGTTGTCAAATGTATAGCTGGCAAAGATTTTCTCCTACTCTGTGGGTGGCCTTTTCAATTCGGTGACTATTTCTTTTGTTGTGAACAAGCTTTTTAGCTTTATATGGTCATTTGTCTGAACTCAGGCTTTGCACTTGCCAGGCAGGCGCTCTACAGTTTGAGCCGTGCCTCTAGCCCTTTTTTTGTGTGGTTACTTTGGACACGGGGTCTCGCTTTTTGCCCAGGCAGGCCTGGACCACGATCCCCCTAATTTAAGTTTCCTACCCTTGCTTAGATGACAGGTGTGCACCACCACACCCAGTTTTTTTCTGTTGAGATGGATTCTTGCAAACTTTTGCCCAGCTGGCCTGGAGTGGCGATCCTTCCAATTTCAGCTTGGGTCCACAGGCACAAGCCTCTGCCCAGCCATTGCTTGAGATGGGGTCTCCCGAACTCCTTGCCCTGGTACCTGGCTTTATATGAGCATGTTTAAGAGTCTTGATATGTAATAGAAATTAGATGCAAAAGAGTTATGCTAATTTTTGATCCTGTGGTGTAATACATATGAATATGTTTGTATCCAGTGCCTAGGAGAGGGCCTTACAATAGAAGGTGTGCAGTGAATGTTGCATAAATGAGTAAGAAAGTGAATGAAAGACGACTTGTTCCACAGCACCCACTTTTCAGTGGGTTATTAAAGTTATTTTTCCAGATTAAATCTGTTTTTACAAAAACAGTATACCGATACATAGCCCAGGCTGACCTTGGACTTTTGATCCTCCTGCCTCAGCCTTCCAAGTGCTGGGATTACAGGTGTGTGACACCACAGCTGGCCCCCAGATGTAAAACTTTTACTGTAGCCTTCGTGTATTTTATATCCACCCACCAGTCTTTTGCTTCTGTCTTTACATTAGCCCCAGGTATGTTTCCTTTTTTATGTATTTCCTTAAAAGTACTTTGGATTTTTGTTGTTGCTATAACAGTTACTAAAAATTGATGGCTTAGAACATCATCAGTTCACTCTCCTGCAGTTCTGGAGATCAGGTTTTGCCCAGGCCAGAGTCAGGGCCATTCAGGCTTCTTTTATCCTTACTATTCCCAGCCTCTAGAGGCCCTGCATTCCTCAGCTTTGGTCCTGTCCTCTGCCTTCAAAGCCAGCAGTGCAGCATCTCCAGATTCCTCCCCACCTGTGACGCCCGCTTCTGGTGTCACATCTCCCCTCTGCCTCCCCCCCACCCTGCCCCCATTAGCTCTGCCATGACCACTCTGGATCCACCCCAGTGACCTAGGACAGTGCTCCCATCCTACATTCCACGGTCTGTCCCCTCTGTAGAGTCCCTCTTGCAACCTAAAGTCATACATTCACAGGTCCCCAGGTTAGATTGTGAATGTCTTGGGTGGAGTAGGGTGTTATTCTGTGTGCCCCATACCTCTGTCTTCTTTTGTTCTTCTCTAATTTGAAATTTAATTCTCCAGACTTTTCAAGGAAGCTACCTTTTAAATGAAATCTCTGATAATTCCCCTCCCTCCTTTCTAGTCTTGAGATAATTCTCACGCCCTTTTTCATGTATCCAAAATACTTAATGCACACATGCGCTTGTCCCCTTGGGTGCCACCTCACTGAAGGTAGGGGGTCTTGTTCCTAACTTGAGCTGCCTCCAGTCTTGCTTTGATGTTGTTATGTGTTAAAATCAAATCCTAACTTGAGCTGCCTCCAGTCTTGCTTTGATGTTGTTATGTGTTAACAATCTCACTGATTGTTTTTAAGAAAAGGAAGAGAATTCATTTCAACTTACATATTTGATATCACGATAGCCTTTTATGTTATTTGAATTAATTTGTAAGTAATTTGTGGTGCTGGGGATTGAGTCTAGGGCCTTATGCATTTCTAACAATTTCTTACACGTTGGTAGAAGCAAGGTGGTATAGAGGGGGCATAGCGCCTTTGTGTGGAGCAAGGACCCACATGTGTGTGTGCTGAGCATTCTTACAGGTAACTCAGACACTGCTGTTGCAGTCAAATACTCTGTGTGTTTTATAGTTAGTGGAATCCACTTCGAATGGGGACCAACACTTCAAATAATGGAGGAAAATGTTCATATGGGACATCCTCCCCTCCCCTCTCCTCTCCTCTCCTCTCCTCAGTCCCCACTCCTCTCTCCCCCCCACCTCCTCTTCTTTCACCCCCTCTTTCTTTCCAGTACAGTTTTAAGATAATTTATTGAAGTTTTCCAAACCAAGGTTTTGGGAGGCAGGAGATACATAGCACCACCCCTGTGCCAAGTAAATATCTACAAAGAAGAATATGGGTTAGCAGGGGTGAAGGGAAAAGATCAAGTTGCTGAATATGTATTGGCTCGACCTTCAAAAGCAAGTGTTCCTATAACTATCAGCCCAGGATGCAGTTCCGTGGACCCATTGACACCAGGAGGAGAACCTGCTGCTGTGGGAAGGCTTAACTGAAATTTCATTCTTCAGCTTTTTAAGGCCCCAGCAGCAGAGGGAAGGGTATGTATTACTCCTAAAAGGTCAGCCACTTTCAGATGTATGATGCAATGGCTGAGCCTCTTGCAGCCTCAATATATTAATAGGTCCCCCCAATCCAATATACTTCCAAGAAGTGGCAAGCATTAGAATCAGGAGATCTAAGGTCTGTTACAAACCTGGAGTTCCATCTGCAGCCATTCGTGTCCAGGCAGTGTTACGAATTGTGTTTCACCTCAGGAAGTACAAAGCTGTGCTGTCTTGCAGGACACATAATTCTCTTCCCTCTCATGCCAGAGTATGCCGGCTTTGACTAATAAGTGAAATATAGAAATCTGATGTTGCAGAGGACAGAGTCACTGGCTTTCTAGGATGCTTGCCTCACAGTGTTCCTTTGCTTTTTTCAAGGCGAAATCTTTTTCTTTCACATTATAAAAGCATAAAATGAAAATCTCCTATAACCCCTCCATCTGGATAAAATTGCTGCGAACGCTGTGACCACCTGGAGTGCATTTGGCCACACCCTGTGTGAAACCTGACCGCATGGCCCTCCGTCCTGAGGCTGTGTGAAGCCTCCCTGGCTGCTGGGCTCTGCTCTCTCTTAGCTCTGTTTCTAACCTGAGGAGTGTGGCTCTCGAGTGAGGAAACATGTCTTACAGCATCCTGCACTCTCAGGTGTCTTCTTCCTGCCTTTTTGGGATTGTTTGCACGCTGGGAGTGCACACCGCTCACTTACAGTTGCCTGTGATGAGTTTATTTACGTTTATATTTTCCTGAAGAAGTCTTGTGAACAGGTGGCTGTTGTCTGGTTTGTGAAGGGGACGTGATTGTGTAAGTTCTTGTGACATCTCTCTGTAGTTTATATAGTACATCTGAAGAATCTGTTCCCCAACTCCTTGTCAGGACATTGCTTGAGTTCTGTCTCAGTTAGATGTTAAATCTTGTGTTGTGTCTTCAGTGGGAAAAGAAGTTTAAAAAAATGAAACTGTCAGGCATATGGGTGTCGATGGGTGAGGTGCTTGGACCTCAGGACCAGTACTTATTCTTTTGTTGCATGCTTTTTATCTGATTTTGAAGATGCATGGGGCATAAAATCTTTAAAAATGTGACTATGAAGCACATTACTGATTAGTGGAGCTGCAGTATTTTTAGGGCACTTCTTTTTGTTCTCTTTTGTATTTTAAACTAAGCATGTGGTAGTTTACTGACTGACTCTCATTTTATTTTTCCGTAGGTTAGATTGAATCCAGGCAGAACGTCCTCCCAGCTGGCTTTTTTATTTTTAAATGCTGTGTTCAAAATTATGCCTTTTAATTGAATTACTTCCCTTGTTTTAAATTAAGGTACCCACTACTCCCTTTGAGGTATCTTCCCCAGATAGCTTATCTTCCACAGATAGCCACCTGTGTTTAAATGACCAAGTTTTGGAGAGGATGAGTAAAAGTCTTGGAATAAACTGATTTTCATGAGCCGAGTTGTTTGCTTATCTGAAGCTGCTCATTGTGGGATTCTCGGGTGGTTTCTCTGAGCCCATGTGAAATCTTGGGCTCATGTGTGTGTGTGTTCTTCAGGGGAGGTGCTCACAACTGAGTCATAACCTCGCATGGCATGTGAGGGCTGATACGTGATCATCTGCTTTTCCTAGCATAACGTTTGTGCATGTGGGAGAATCACAGCCTCACTGCTGATGTCTCATTGCTGGGCTCTGCCCCTGTCCTAGCAATCCATGTCACGTGGGTCCCTGCAGTCTCCTACTCCTCAGTCACAATAGCCATTGGGGCTGGTGGTTCTGGCACCCAGGTGCGCCCCGCGTAGACCTGCCACACATTCGGTGTAAGTGATTTCCTTCCTTGTGGCCAAGGTTTTAATTCAACTAAAAGTGACGGGGAGTGTTTTCTCAAACTCCCATAATAAAATGTGGGAAGGACTTTCAAGCTTCTGTGCCCACTGCTTGCTTGCTGACCGTCTTTCGGTGGATGTACATTTGATGCACTGGGTCCGTTTTTCTCGGTCCTTAGGTTGCCCCCAATGATGAAGCTGTGGTGACCCTGTTGTGTGAGTGGGCCGTGAGCTGCAAGCGGTCAGGCAAGCACAGGGCCATGGCTGTGGCCAAGCTCTTGGAGAAGAGGCAAGCGGAGATTGAGGCAGAGGTAGGTCTGGGCCTGTCCATTCGTGAATGCTGTAGTTTAATGTGCTGTTGGGAGTTTATTTGCCTCTTACCCCTGTTATGTTTTTTTCTTTCATGGTAAGGAGGGGTGAACAAATGCTTGTAAGAAGAAGCCCTCTAAATCATAGTAGCTTGAACCCTGTTGTTGGTCTTTGTATTCCTTTACTCTGGGCATTTGCCCTTGCTGTTTTCTCTGGTGACAGTTCTCTCCCAACCTTTGCATGCCTGGCCTCTCCAGCATTCCCACTGCAGGAGTCACTTATTGCACGGTGTCCCTAGGTAATGTGTACCCTCCTCTGGAACCTCCACCACCATAGGATCTGAGGCCACAATACCCACTCCCCAGGCAGCATCCATAGGATGTGAAGCCACATCACCTATACCTTGGTTGCTCTGTCACCCCAGGACATGAAGGCCATGGCACCCCTTCCTCAGGAACCTCCACCACCACAGAATCTGAGGCTGTGTCATTGACTCCTCACCCGCTTTTTTTCAAGTACTGCTGTACTTCCCCTGTTGGTGTACACGTCAGTGTAGTTAATTTGTGTACTTCCCCTTTAAAATGTACTGTGCCCATGGTGATCTGGCCTGTCCTGCTCAGTGTTTGCTTACTTGACCAACAGAGTAGGCTTGGGGCATAGTGGGTGCTTCAGAGATGTCATTGTCAAAGGACGGATGCACACCTGGTTCTGTGTGTTGCTGGCAACGCACCGACTCCTGTGAAATGAAAGGGGACACCCTTGTCATGGACATCCCTTCCTACGGGGAGAGCCATGTTCACAGATAAAAGACCACAGGACTGAAATGGGGACTGCAAGATTCCTGTGATCAGGTTCATGCAGGTGACCCGTTACATAGTGTACAAATCAGAGAGCTTTCACTGCTTTTTCAATACGCTATAACTACACAATTCTGTGGTGAAGTGAAGTGAATAAACAGTAACAAAGTTGAATTGCTCACATGTTCCACTGCTTCTTTCAAGTTGCTTCTTCATGCACCTCTTTTCCCAGGGCAGGTGAAGAGTTCACACATAGACTGCTTAGCAAGTTTAGTAGGCCTAGCCATATTAATATCTAGGAACATGTTTTCTCAGAGGTGTGCAAGACAGTTGTTTTCTGTTATGTCACCATCTTTAATTTTGACCTTGGCAAGTAGAGGATAGATTGGAGAAATAATATCTTAATACTCATACTGTAATTAGGATCTTGAAATCTTAAAGGGTAAGTAAATGAAAATGGGAAAGATAAAGGAATAGCAAAGGAGCAGAAAACAAGATTCTGCTCACTTGTGGACCATGTTTCCTGATCTTCTAGGAAACTCGGTGTTTAAGGAAGTCAGTGAGGCTGCTCCTCCAGATGTGTTCTACACACTTGGAAATCCCACAGTCTCCAGAAATCTCACTGGTGAAGTTGACGAATAAGCAAAAGGATCTTTTTATTTTTAAAAGTTTAAAATTTTTCACTTTGGTAATACGGGGGTTTGAACTTAGGGTCTTATACTTGCTAGGCAGGGGTTCTACCACTTGAGCCACTGCACCAGCACACGAACAAGTGCGAATTGCAGAATTATATCTGCTTTCTGATTTGACACCTGCAAACACACTCATATCATACTCTCCAGACAAATGCACATAAACACAAAATGATAAAATTTTATAATATGTGCCAAATAGTATTTGTTCACAATTAAACATGAGCTATTTAAAAACTAAGACAGTCTTTAATCACAAGCAGTTTTGTGTAACAATAAGGGAATACTTACTGTATTGTGACATGATTCAGTTGGTACTCACACAGCGCTGGGTAGAGTTTACTCTTCTTCAGGGGTGTTCTTTGAAATTAGTTGAATTGTTCTGGGGTAGTTTTCTCTAACTTTTAGAAACTATATTCAGTTATGCAAATAAGTATAGAAATCTAAACTAATTTCACATTGTGTCCAAGAACGCAAACATTAGTAAGGACTAGCCCATCACCTCTGTATTAACTGTGCTGCTGATTCCTGACCTGCAGAGATGTGGTGAAGCAGAAGTCCTGGATGAGAAGGAGTCCATTTCCTCAGCCTCCCTTGCTGGCTCCAGTTTGCCCATTTTCCAGAATGTTCTTCTACGGTTTTTAGACACACAGGCTCCTGCATTGTGTAAGTAAGAAGGGTATTCACTTACAGAAGGGATTGACTTTGTCTTTTTGTAAGCCGATTGTTTTTCTTCTTCTTTGCATCATAGCTAGTGTTCTTGGCACTGACTAGAATGTATGTTTTTACTGAAAAGAATTTATTATTTTTCCCCGTAGGAAATTTTAGGCACTTTTAAAATAAGTTTCAAACACTTTAAAATATATAGGTTTTAATAATTTAAAAATTAAATCTTTTCAAGACCTTATATTTAGCACATGAATTTCTTACCTCTGGATCTTCTTTACCAAAAGACAAGAGCTGAGGTCCTGTGTCATTTATTTGTGTCTCATGATTTAGAGTTTTCACTGTTTCAAGCCATTTTTTAAGTTTCTGATTTTCTAACTCTCTGCGCTTACGAAGGGAGAATTAAGCAGACATACTTCATAACAGGACCTGGTGCAAGGCACTGTTCGCACAGATGGTGGGCTGCTTCACTGTACTCTTGCACGTGTGTGTCCTCTCAGGCTGTTCTGTGTTTTCCTCGGTGGGTGCTGGGAGTTCAGGGTTGTGGATCAATCACCTACTTAGTGCACACATTTGAAGAATTATCTTTGTGAGCAGTGCTGACTCACCATCATATCGAAGTTTGCATGTAACAAAACACAGCAGAGGATCTTAAGGCAGATAGAGCAGAACAACAGAAAATGGCAAAAAGTGAAAAGAGGAAAGGGCGGGAGGCAGGGAGAAGTTTGTGGGACAAGAGGAGGCAAAGTGCCAGTGCTACTGCCTGGAATAAAGGTCTGTGTTTGTGTCCTTCCTGCTCCATTTCCCTTTGCTCACCCGAGTGACCCACTTCCTGTTTCCACTGCCATTTAAATCTTACTCTCCGGTGAAGTCTGCTTTGAAACAGTGTACACAAGTACCCACAGACACACAGGCCACTTCAAGGCATTAAAAAGTAGCCACGAGCGGTTTTAATAGTGAAAGGAGAGGATGCGGCCTGGCCTTGCTGTGTACACATGTTGTTCCTGTATGGTCGCTCGTTCATCAGGGACCACTGTCATTAAGCTTGAGTTGTGCTTCACATGTTACGTGTTTTTCAGTTTATTGCTGAACAGTCCAAACCTGCCTGTCAGCTCTGTACAAAAAGCTAGTACCTCACAAATATTCCAATAAATCTTTTAAGAAAAAAGCCAGGTGTCCTTGACCCCCAGCAATCTGACTGGGTTTGTCTCTGCAGCGGACCCCAACAGTGAATGTGAGAAGGTGGAGTTCGTGAACCTGGTGCTGCTCTTCTGTGAGTTCATCCGTCATGATGTCTTCTCCCATGATGCCTACATGTGTACCCTAATCTCCCGAGGAGATTTGTCAGTCATTGCTGCCACGGGGCCTCGGTCACCCACAGGGGAGAATGTGGACAAGCACTATTTAAAGGACCACGACGTGACAATGGAGGTATGGCACAGGACACCCACACTAGACTTTCAGACGACTAAATTTCTAGCTGTGTTCTTTCAACAAACCTCCTCTGTCTGTATTGTTTTCACAGAAAAGTATATTTGGACACTGTATCTTCTAGAATTTTCTTTTGTGTACTGTGAGACCGTGAATCAAAAGATACGGCCAGCTATAAAATTTTTCGTATGATTAAAATGATGGGCTTCTAGTTGTAGATATTTCTAGTCTCCACTTTTCTTTTAATGTTGTGCTTCAAAACTGAGCTAGTTTTGCCCCTAAAGCCCAGCTGAGTTTCCATTCATTACCTGTACCACCCTTTTACACATAATGGGAAATTTTGTTAATCACAACACATCATATTTTCTTTACAATTAATTCAAAATTTAGCCTGCCTCTCAAATGTGTTAGGGCTGTTCTTTTCAAATTATTTTATGCTGTGGCATTTTTATTTTTTATTTATTATTATTTTTTTTAATAAAACTTCAATTTATTAAATATGAAAACAGTTTTTTTTTTTTTCATTTTTCTTTTATTATTCATATGTGCATACAAGGCTTGGTTCATTTCTCCCCCCTGCCCCCACCCCCTCCCTTACCACCCACTCCACCCCCTCCCGCTCCCCCCCTCAATACCCAGCAGAAACTATTTTGCCCTTATCTCTAATTTTGTTGTAGAGAGAGTATAAGCAATAATAGGAAGGAACAAGGGGTTTTGCTGGTTGAGATAAGGATAGCTATACAGGGCATTGACTCACATTGATTTCCTGTGCGTGGGTGTTACCTTCTAGGTTAATTCTTTTTGATCTAACCTTTTCTCTAGTTCCTGGGCATTTTTAGACCTTGCTCTAGATCCTTAAATTTTTAAGAAAAGATGACCTTGGTGATAAGAAAAGATGACCTTGGTGATAAGAAGTAGTGAGATTTGTGACAGTTCTTTAAGGTCAAGCTTCAGATTGCTTCCATGAAATTTTAATCACACACTCTTGGGACGTGTTTAAACAGGGCTCTGCTTGTTACTCAAGAAACCCTGGCATCAGAATTGCAAGTAGGGATTCGTGATTTATCCTCTTAAGATTTGCTTTCCAAAATGTGCAGAATTTAAAAATGATTTATTATGAATATGTCTGTTTCTTAATTTGTCCACAGCAGTAGTTTGTTTGCCTGCTGACATGTTTTCTAAGCTTCTCCTTTGTCTTTTCTTTGACTGTCCAGATATCATAAACTCTTAGATTTTTCTTACTAACAGAAGTTGCTGAGCTTTTGGTCAGAATAGCACAAGAAAGGAAATTATGGCCAGTTTTTTTTTTTTTTTTTAAATCAGGAAGTGTATGTGCTCTTCCCTTAAAATACCCTGAAAGTTAAAAGCTTTCTCATCATGAGGAAGAAGAATGCAGCTGTTTAAGAAATGCATGTCTTAAAGCTTCCTTCATCTTCCTTAGGGGGAAAAATGGTGAAGGATATAGGATGGTTAAAAATTTCACTGTCAGGCTTTAGCTTCAGTTTCTTAAACTGCACAATGTGACTTTCTGTCTCTGGCAATTTTCAGGAGCAGAGTATTATGGCGCATATGGGCATTGACTCAGGAACCACTAACATTTTTGATGAAGTAGACAAGAATGACTTTAAAACTGATTTTGGTTCAGAGTTTCCAGTAGGTTCAACCTTCTGATTCTTACTGACATTTAGTCTCCCACTCCCACCTCAGCTCATATCCGTCCCTTTTATTTCTTGCCCCCTGTGCCAGCATGACTTGTACACTGGTCATGTGATGTGACCCTGCTGCGTTCTGCCCTTACTCATGGTGACCATCTTGTGCCATGGCCTCATCTCAGCTTGTCAGCAGTTTTGTTGCTTTCCTCCTTTATACATTGAGACACTCCTGTCCTCCTTGTTGACTGTCTGTGATGCTTTTGTTCATTTGACCTTGTCCTCTCTCGGGATGCATGGTGTCGGTCATCATGAAGTCCATGTTTATTTCTGTGTAGTTCTCCAGCTTCTAGAGAGCAGCTTTCATGGCTCTCTGGTACATTTGTTTTCTGCTGCCTCTCGGATAATTGCAGTGTGTTCTTCGTGAATCTGATATTCATGTGTAACTCTTTATAGAGTGTTTAGTGCAGAGATCAAACCCTTGGTGTCTGTTTCTCACAATATGTATATGTTTTGGAGGAAATGTCACTCTGTGATTCTGCTTTTCTCTCTCGTCCTGTGGGTGATATAAACACATTTTTTTTTTAAACCTGTGTTTGGTTTTCATTTTCCCATGTTCTAAGATGTTCTTCTGAATTTTGTGGGAGTTCATGACATGTCTGCATGGCTTTTGCTAGGTGGTTGAGCAAGAGAAGATGAGTGTCTTGCATGTTTGGAGCTCTGGTTTGGCTTACCTTTTCCATTTACAATTGCCAATGTTTTTACATGACTTAGAGTTTTTCTCCCATGCCTGGAGAGTCCTGTGAGAATGCCAACCCTTCCTTGGGCAGAAGGATGTCGGTGAATGGTGAGAAGCTGATGAAGAGAGAAAAACCAAGGGAACTGATTTATCCATCCAATTATGACCTCCTCCGTCACGTGCAGTATGCAACACACTTTCCTGTACCTCTGGTAAGTTGTTTCCGTCACATCGCACTAGTTTGGTTTATTACAAACAAGGTCATTAACTGCCAAATGTCTGGTTATCCACCTGCTGTCCTCACTTGCAGAGAATGATAGCAGGTGAGTTTTTGAATTTGCTGTTCCGTTTGTTATAATTCTGATTATACAGCTTATGTGCAGATATAGTCCAAATTTGTGGTGTGATATTAGTAGCTGGTTAGCTTTAGCAGAATTTTTTATGTTAGTATCCTATTATCAAAAGCAGTGAGTGACTGGAAATGATGTCTGAATGTGTCTTTCTGCTTCAGTTTGAAAGCCCTTTACTGAATGTGCCCTGGAGGATGCAGTTATACAGATAAGTAAGAGGGAGGGAGAGCACATGATTGAGAGATTGTGTAGGTCTTCACAAAAGAGGTTGCAGAGGAGGTAGACATGTATTTGGACTTTGAGTTTATGAACTGAGTAGCACACGGGGAAAACAGGGTGGGAAACTTAACAGACTGATGCATTCATTCTGAAGGGAAACAACTCATTTTTTGGTATTAGTAATGAAAATTGAGCTAAAATCTGAAAAAACATTTTTAATTCTTGAGTTCAATAAGTTTCTTTCTTCCAGTTTTTAAGTGCAGTTTCTTTTCTTCTTTTTTTTTTTTTTTTTGTAGTACTGTGGTTTCAACTCAGGGCCTTCGCCTTGAGCCACTCCACCAGCCCTATTTTGTGAAGGGTGTTTTCGAGATAAGCTGGCTTCAAACTGCAATCCTCCTGATCTCTGCCTTCTGAGTAGCTAGGATTATTGGCATGAACCATGGCATCTGGCTAAAATGCAATTTCAGTAACCTATTTTTTTTTTATGAGGTGCTTTTCTGTATCAAAAATATAATTGTGACGTTTATTATCTTCTGGCTGTCTTGTAAGAGTTGTGATTGGTAAGCTAAATAGTTTGTTAGAGTTCCACATTTTTTTGATATTTTGTAACATCCTCCAAAATGACTCAAAATCACTAAGTCCATGTTTTTTTTTAGTCCTTTTTAAATTATTTTTTTAGATTCATGACTGTGTCAGAACTTGCCAGAGTTGTTTCTTGTCCATCCCTGTCTGAATGTTATCATTAAATTTCAGCTGATTTTTTTATAGGCATCACCCATTTTTCAACAGAGTGGAATTGTTTGGTAGTTTATTTAGGACAACTGAAAGGGTGGCCTTATATTTTAGAGATATATTCTGAAGAATTCATGCATGAACTGTTGTAATATCTGGGGTTTGTTTTAAAGTATTTAGAGTAAAAAAATGAGTCTTGCATGTTAGAAATACCTTCAGGATATTGGGGTGTCACAAGAGATGACACAATTCAGAAGTCAACAGGCAAGGCAAAATTTACTTCTGCAGAAGGGTGCACCATAGACAGAACAAGCATACCCATCGAAGAGTCCACTGGGATTCTATCCCTGACGCAATGCTGTCCCTCCCCTGAATTGGGCAGGTTTGGGGTTCACAGTTTACACAGTTGGCTAATTGGAAAGAGGACCTTGGGAGAGGGCTTTAAAGACAAAGAAGTTTCAAAGCTCAGGGAAGCAATAACTGTTTTAGGTTATCAGTTCTAGAACCAGGGCATCTAGCAGAATTTTATTTGGCTGAGGATTAACAACCCTTTGTTCTTAATAGAAACTTTTATCTTGTTAAGCAGAGTCCATGAAGTGAACATATGGGAAGTGAGTTAGTGAGACTGCCATTTGTAACATGGTGGTGACAGATTAAATCCTTTGACAGAAAAGACCCTGCCTAAGCTGATTCTCACATTGCAGTCCAGAGTTTATTTTGTACTAGTGCATTGATACTGACTTCGCAGTTTTCCCTAGAAACTGAGAAACTGGTTCTGTAAGGCATTAGTGTCAGGGGAACTGAGTGAAAGTTGTGTGAAAATTCTCCAGACTATTTTTGTAACTTTTCTGTAAATCTGAAATTATCCAAAAGAAAAAGCTTATTTCAAAAAGAGAAAGGAGAGGTAGATTAAGCCAAAATGATTTAGCGTTGGACTTTGTTGAGGGTTTTGTTCTCCTCTCAGGTTTGCAGAGCACTGCAGGGGGCTCCCTGTTATGTATGTCTGGTGTTTAAACAGGCTCTGAACTCTGCCGCCTTTGCTCTGTTGTTCATGTGACCTTGGACACCACTTGGACAACCGTGTGGCGGTTGTCCCAAGCTTGTAGCATTTTAAGGACTGTCTACTTCCTTAGAGGAAAGAGCTCCCTGCTTTCCATTGACCCTGTCTCAATGAATTGTGTCCTGGTTGAACTGTAGTGCTGTCGTGACGGACAGTTGGTGCTGAAGGACAAAGTCATTAAACAGCTTTCCATGCCTGGGCCCTAGACCCCCCTTTACCATGGCACAATTCAGGTGAAGTCACCAGTGGGGAAGTAAAGAGGATGTGCTAGTAGGATACTGACTTGGAACCACTGTTTGGTTCTCTTCCTTAGTAAAAAGGGAAGTCTGAGTAACCTGTCATGCATTTGAAGACACTATAAGAATTTGGTAAAAAGACCAAGGAGCAAGGACAAAGGGGCTTGGCTAAAGCCTAAGAACAGGAGTAAAAACCAGTTCTGTGTGCACTGTTACATGGACGATGTTTCCATGAGCTCATCAGTAAAACATGGTGTGTGGGTTGCCAGCCCGTGGCTCAGGGATGTTCTCTACACCTCACATAGGTGGTGCTGATGGGACTTCCTAGCATTTTCTTGTAGCTACCTAGAATTTGTCTAGCACTTACCATGTTCTATTTGTTTAAATGGGCACTTTGTGCATTTTTCATTTATTACTCAGACTCAGAACATACCTGTGAGATTGTAGATAGGAGTTTCATGCTTCAGGAAATCATCCTTGAGTAGAAAAACAAACTCAGGATCAAACTTGTCTTCCTGGCTTCCAGGAACACCTTTCCTTCTCCTCCCTCCCTACCTCCCTTGTCTTTCCCCTGCTCCCCTCTAAATAACCCAGTATGTGATGCCACATCCAACCCCAGGAACACCCTTCCTTCCTTCTTTCCTCCCTCCTTCCCTCTCTCTCCCTCCTTCCCTCCCTCCTTTCTGTTCTCTCTCCCCTTCCTTCCTATGTTTATGTACACATGTGACACATGATAACAACACGCTCTGCACACAATACTATTTCTTCCTTCTGTGCACAGTTTTAATATGGGTTTTACTAATGATAATGAAAATAAACACAAAGCCGCTCATATATGTGCATCTACACTTTGAATGTCACGTATCAAATCCTGTTTGCACCCTTGGCATGGGGCATAGATATGTCCTGAGCACAGAGTCACCTAGGCTCCGTGCGGGTCAAGCTCATCTGGCTGGCTTCAGGCACCAGGCCCATCATGGACTTCGTTCCTATGCTGCCTTGCTGTGGAGTCAGTGTATCTGTTTTAAAACAATGTCAGTGGTGGTGTTTTTCCTTACCTTTGTTGTGAGTTTCCAGTTCCAAAATGGTAGTTCAAGTGGTTAATAAAATTAACAACTCCCCTTGAAAATGAAATCAATACTGCGTGTCTCATCTTATGACAGACTGTAAGCAACAGTGCTAGAGTTGTCATTGCTAACTTTAGGAAGCTGTTAGAACCTATAAGTAGAATTTAAATACATGTAACACAGCAAAAATTATTTATTTGTAAGCCACTCATAAATAAAAGTTGCTAGCTATTGTGGCAGAAAAATTGATGTTAGGAATTGGAGTAGTGAATGGGAAGTTTACTGTCATTTGAAGTCATGGGTGAAAAATGAATGGAACACAGGTGGTTTCATATACTTTTTTTTTTTTCATTCTGAAGGTGATCTGAAGCCCTTTAAGCAATGTTGCTGGAGGCCTTCCTGGCAGTGTACACATTGTTTACTTTGCATGTTGTCATTAAGAAGCCAATTCCAGGCATCAAATGAATTTCTGTGAGTCTGTGTCATGGATCTCTTTGATTTCAAGGATATTACAGTTTGACCTTGATTCACCAAGAGTTTTCGTTTTCTTGAACAAATATTTGGGTGAAGGAGTACCATGAACTCCAAGAGCACACAGTTGGCTTGTAGAAAAAAAGGGTGTCTGTGTTAACCAGTCTGTGTTTGCAAGCTGTGGTAGTTCTTATTATTGAGATTCTTCTTTTCTCTTACAGTAGGGGCTGGGGGCATGGCTCAAGTGGTAGAGCACCTGCCTACTAGGTGCAAGGCCCTGAGTTCAAATCCAGTACCACCAAAACCAAACAAAAACTAAACTAGGTAGCTTTATGGTACAGTAAGGCAAGGGGTGAGAGCATAAAAATTTCATATTTTATGCATCATTTTCACATTTTGATTTTTCTTTCTGAGCTTTGGTCCCTTTCGGTGAGGCAAAAGTCTCAGTGACTTTTAAGCGGAATGCTTTTGAGAGGTGATAATAGAGGATAGGATCGAAACACAGGTTGGACACAGCCAGGAGCAGTGTGGCCTCTTTGGCTTTGAAGAGGGAAACCCTTGTGGGGCAGTCAGATATGACTTCTGTCTGGCTGAGGGTGTATGGGATTCGGACGATGTGGTAGGGAACAAAGCATACAACGTAGGCTGCAGTCACCAAAAGTATGTTGATGAGAGCATGCTTCACGTTTGGGTAGTTTTCATTGTCTTTGTTTCTGTACAGCTGTCGAATCACAAGGCAGTTGGATATCAAAATGATGGCTGAGAAGTTTAAAAATATTGCTACACATAAAAAATTTGTCAGCAGGTGCCAGTTCCTTCCAAACTCCCTTTTAAACTCCATGCAACCCACGCTTGACTTTTCTTTGACGTCTTGGATGGGGATCACCATGTTTGGCACCATTATGACAAGGACCATGAGCCACACGACAGCTGATATCATTTTGGCAAATCCAGGTTCTTGTATTCGGTAGATCTTGCAACTGTGTGTCAACTGTAGACAGCGGTCCATGCTGACAAATGCTAGGAAGATGATGGATAGGTACATGTTGATATAGATGAGGCATGCTGTCACTTGGCAGTGGAATATCCTCAGCCTCCAGGGCGCTACACCCAGGTCAACCACAATCTTCACTGGTAATGCCAGCGTGAGCAGGAAGTCAGCCGTGAGCAGATTGATTAAGTATATGCTTACGCATCTGTGGTTTGTAGTTTTCTGTATAAATGCCCAGGTGGCAAAACAACTTCCAATAATTCCAACAAGGAAAACTAAATAAAAGAAATAAGTAAATGGCTCCAGGTCTCTGTAAACTGGACAGAGGAATGAACTGTTTGTCATCTTGAGGAAAAGGAAGATGATTTCAGGTCAGAAAAAATCCAGAGTATCTGTTAAAGAGAGAAGGGGGAGGTTTAGTAATTCAAATTAGAAACTACTTTCCTTAAAAACATTTAGTTCTTAGTGTTTTATCGGTGAGCTTTCTACACTCTGGGGGCTGGTGGGAGCATCCTAGTTGAGCAAGCCTGGGTTTTCCATGGTCTCATTTTGTGACTTTCAGGAAATCCCATGTGGGTTTTCATCTAGAGGGATATTTTTGACCTCAGGGTTTTTGTCCTCTGTTAGCTCTTTACCACTGCAGAGGAGGTGAGTGGACAGAGATTCTGAGAAGCGGGGGAGGAAATATGTTGTGGTTGTGCTCAAGAGCTTTCAGTGAGGCCCTTCTGGCCTTCGTTTTGCAGACATTACAGCTCCTTGTGCTGGAGAATGCAGGCTGATAGGTAAATACTGTGATTTAAAAAGTTAGCTCTTCGTTGTGAACCCTGTTAGAATATTTTCCGAGGCAACATTTGATTTCACTTTTGTTTTTAAGCAGCAAGGGTTGAAGCATTGGTGCTGTCACCTCCCTTTCCATTGCTGCAGGTTCACAGTGTAGAGACCTGTGGATGTCTCATGGATGATGGCCTCAGGCCACATGAAATGTTGGCAGTCCAAACCCACAAAGTACACACTGGGTTTTCAAGACATAGTGAAAAATGTTATAAAAGTCATTCCAGAAGTACACATTACATTATTTTATGCAGTCATAGTTTAATGGAACACATGTTGAAATGATATTTTTGGCATACTAGGTTCATTGTATCGGTGAAGTTACTTTTTCCACCTTTACATTTTAAAATGCAGCCACTGGAAAAACTTAAATTATTTTTGTGGCTTGGCTGTATTGCTTTTGGGTAGTACTGGTATAGCTGTTTCTGTGGTAATGTTTTTGAGTAGTTTCATGAAGACTGTATTTTAAAAGGTTCTAGAATAGGATATATTTTCATTCATCACAAAACTCTCAAAGAGAGAATCAGTTATACCAGTATCAAAAGTGTAATGTTGGGTGTTTTCTTTCTTTGTGAGTTTTGGGGATAGTCAGAAGCCCAGAAGTATAAGACATTCCCTTAGAACCCTTGTGGTCGACAATGATGCTGGCAGTAAACCCTTGTCATGTCCCCTCTAGATTAAAGCTCTGAGTGTGTCTATCAACTCAGATTAAGCTGATGGGCTCCCTTTGGGGTGGTCTGGCAAACTGACAGGTTCAAGGCAGGGAGCTTCCTGTGGTGCTACCTCTTGGCCTAGGTTGGTTTTGCATATTGAACAACTTTTCTTTTTTCTTTTTAAAAGACCAGAAGATTACTTTTTGTTTTATCAGGAAAAAAATTTCATACACAACTTTTCCAAAAATAGGAACTAGCAACTATAGTGGCCTGACAAAGAAGGCCACATCAGCAGTTAAAAATGTCTTCTGAAGACAACTGCTGAGGCCTTTCTCAATCTTAATTCTCCCAATTATTTAGTGAGCCATTGTTCATTAAAGGCTCTTTGTCTGTGTCATTTCTATTCCCAAATCCTGCCTATCACCCTCTGGGCTTGGAGGAAGCTCTTGGTGCCTGAACACCCCTCCAGGCGCCCCCTGACTTTCTTACCACCCTGGGTTTCGATACTACCATTTATTTGCACTTTGGAATTCTGATACCTAATAAGACAGCTGAACATAAAACTTTGTAATTTAAAGGGTCCATGCCTGTCCCCTTTCCGTACCTGAGTTAGGGCTTTAGGGTCCATGAATAATGTCATCCTGTACTAAACTCACTGCAAATAGTTAAGCTCTCCCTTTGTGTCAGGTGACTACTTTACATGTACTTAGTTAACTATACTTCATTCCTGTTGGGAAGTTGTTATAAGCTGTGTTTTGGAGATGAGAAAGCACCATAGGGTTGAGTACTTTGGGCTCTATAGCTGGTAAGTTACAGAGCTGGGATTCCAGCATAGTCAGTCCCATCTCAGAGGCCACAGGCGAGACCAGTCTTCATAATAATGGGAACCACAAAATGATAGCAATGATCCGTGTTACAGCGGTCAGTCTACCTGAGAGAGGGCTTTCTATGTGGCAAGGATTATGGTCTAAGCAATTTTCATGTAAAAGAGCTGAAATAAAAGACTCTTAACTTTCTTATAAGTACCAATAAAAGTTTAGGTGCTTTATGTATTTTGATGTTTCATTTTTACAATGTATGTATTTAGAAACTAAACTTAGGTCCTGTCCTATAAACATAGACTTTACTTTCCCATAGCCTAGTTTCTCCCGATTATCACCACTGTCTGTCTGTCTGTCTCTTTTTTGGTGCTGGAGATTGAGCCCAGTGTATAGTACATGCAACACAGGAGCCACCCTGCCCCTGAATCCCAGTTCTCTACTGTAGGTTGGTGGGATTTCACTGCCCATGAATAGTTTTTTCTCATTTCTGTACTTTGTCATAATATTTTGGAATTGTAGGACTTTAAGGATTGACAGCAAGTATCCAGTCCCCAAGTCAGTTGAGGAGACTGAGCTCTGGCCCATGAGTCTCTCAAGACTTTGCACCTTGTTTCAGCAGGTCTGAGATCAGCTTTTGGCAGAGAACATTTTCTAGGCTCTCTGCCTGTATCCCTCCAATTCCTGAGTCCTGTTTATCGTCCCACGGGCTTGAAGGAGGTTCTTGGTGTTTGAACGTTTCTCCAGGCCTCACTGACTTCCTCACGACCCTGGATTTTGATGTTACCATGTACTTGCACCTTGGAACTCTGATAGTTTTCTGTCAGAAAGTAGTGTTGATACACACTGATCCTCTCACACCTTTGCTTATTGTTCTTTTTTAAGGTGCTAGGACTTTGACATAAGCTCTTTTATTTCAAATGTTATTATGACACAGAACATATGTTGGCTACTTAAAAAAGGCATGATATTAGGAAGATGAGTCATAAATATGAACATGATTTATTCATTCACTGCCCCATTGCTAGTTAAGTCTCATTTTATCAGTAAGGCTGATATGAGAAGTATTCTCCATAATTAAAACTAACCATCTGCTCTATAGGTGAATAATTTACTTAAAATAATTACAGTGTAACTTCATTCATGGCTTAGAGTCATGGAGTGTTCACCTTTGCTTTTACGAAATTCCATTTAGACTGCAATGAAAAACAGCTTATTTACAACTTTTGATTGTGTCAAGTAGAGGTAAAATTACACTGTAATAATATCACAGAGTTGAGAGCCAAGTGTTTGATACATACTCTGCCAGTGGAAGCTAGATGCGCTCAGAGGTGTGCCGGCAGAGTAAGTAAAGGTTTCAGGCATCACTTTAGTTCTCACAGAGTGCCCATTGCTTAGGAAAAACAAACAATCAAAACTTAACAAAATTTCCAATAGGACTGATACTAGAATTTTTTTGAAATTACGTCTTGTAATGTCTACAGAGGAAAGTCATTTTAAGACCTCTCGTGCTCTGTTGTGAAGACGTACTGTGTGGTCTTAATCTATCCGGTTATAAAACTGAGTTCTGAGCAGTTCTGGTTGCTTGGATGATAAGTTTGATTCGGATTAAATTGTCTTTTTAAGGCAAGTAGATGGAGCCACAAAATAGCAGAAAATTACAAGTTCACAGCTAGGCTCTATTCATAGTTTAATAATTAGTGCCCTATTAAAGATGAGCCTTGTTAGATGTTGACTTTTCCTACTTCAACACTGACAATGAAGGAAAAGCATTTGAGTAGATTGAGATTAAAAGGACGTACCTGGTGTCTCCTCAGCTGGCGGGCCTGGCTCCAGGTCCTCAGAGCCGCAGTTGCTACTTGCTCAGCCAACACAGCAGCCCCATGGCAGGGTTGCTGGCTCTACTAGAAGTTTCCTTTCCTTTGTGTGTGGTTTTAAAGTGCTGCAGATTGACGTACATGAAACTGTGGTTTGCAAGTACTTTAAACTGTATGAAACTTAAGGAAGTTTAAAAAAAACTTATGTATTTTTTCTTAAATAATTCAAATTTGTCAGTATTTTTTTAGAGGAAGCATTTTCTCTTTTAAAAAAAGTTTTACTGTATTTTTGAGTTAGTATGCATTAATAACACCAAGGGAGTTTCTTTGTGGTAATTCCACACGTGTGCACAGTGCACCTGGAACAAGTTCGGCCTCTCTGTTATATTCCTGTTCCTCCTCCTTTTCCTCCCTCATTGTCATTATGTTGTCTTCAAATATATGTAATGTACTTTGATCCTCTTCTGCCCTCCCCACTACTGTTAGTTCTCTCTGCCCTTATCAGTTTGTCCAGGTTTTGAGACTAGACCTGTGGTGAGTGTTTGACCCAAACAGCTTAATGAATTGAGACAGGTTTTAGTAATTTATGCATTATATGTAAAGGGACCCTGCAGTGTGGACTTAATCTGTTTGGGTAAACATTTATCCTGCTTGTGTAGGGGAGGGAGACAGAGTTGACTGGAGTCTGAAAAGAGCCTCCCTGGGTCTCTGAAGAGCGATCTCCTGCACATCGTCCCTTGGCTTCCAAGGCTGGTTTTCTGATATTAGCCTAGCTGTTGTGAAGGAGAATGTGAGCTACTGAGCAAGCAGACTTTGAGGAGTTCTAAATATGCTGGTCCAAGGTTAAATTGTAAGTGCGAAGCCATTGTTGGGTGCTTAGGTGTGGCTTCTTTGTACACCATGTTGGCTTGGTAGGTACTTGGTTTCTTCTCTTTTTCACCTAATAATTCTCTGTCAGGTTTCTAGATAATAAGAAAACAAGAAGAGACCTCTTTAGAATCCAAAAGAAATCCCTTGTTAATAGCTTTTTAAAAATAAAAAATCTCTCAAAATACTAAATGAGAAATGCCTAGCTAGAGTTAAAAGAATGATTGGGAAAAATGAAGCAGCTCTTGATGACAGTGACACTGGTTTCTGATGTCCTGGCACTTCCCAGATTCATTTATTTGTTATTATTGCCAAGTTTGATACGTTTCCAGTCCAAGTACAGAGAAACTGGTTTCTCCTTAAGCTCAGGTGGTGGTGTTCATTGCAGCATAGCTGGAAGAGCTGTGTTGTACCTACAGTGCTGCGCTTTGCTGTGGACAGGCCTCACTGAGAAGTACACGTGCAGAGACAGGTGTGCAGGTAGGGACGAGCTGCTGTGATCAGGGATTCCATTCCTGGGTGTGATGGTGAGATGGATAGCTGTCGGAGATGGAGCTGGCTGCATGTGGGTGGTGGCTGGTTTTGATGAGGTGTGAAGAAATTGGTATAGAAGATTTTTGGCCAGGTTTTCTCTTTATTTTAGATGGGCGTATTTATAGGTTTATTTCTCTAGTTTGTTTTAGAGTTATGCACTGAATTGAAAGTACAAGCAGATGCTTTTGAAAACCTACCAGGACCACAGTTTATGTGTCTGGACTGCCAAATGTGAAAGTGCTGAGGTGCCCTATTTCTTAGTGTGCCTTTCATTTCTTAAAATAGTGGGAGCTGACCTTTTAATAGCAAGACTGCATCATGTTTTTCCTTTTGAGAATGGATTTAGGCACTGGGCATTGTAGGAAAGTTTATTCATAGTAGGAGTGTTTTTACCTTTACTGCCTCAGAAATTTCTTTTTTTAAAATTAACCTAAGCCCCTTTTTAATAGCTGTTTCATCAAGGACAAATATTTTCACAGTGTATTTTGTTCACGTTACAGAAAATTACATCTGTTCACTAGCCCGGTATTTCCAAAACCCAGGTGGGAAGAGGTGAGGCAAAGCTTTTACCTTACCTTGGTCATGGCAACACTTTTCATTTAAGAAATTATGTAGAGGGCTAGAGGTGTGGCTCAAGTGGTAGAGCACTTGCTTAGCAAGCACAAGGTCCCGAGTTCAAACCCCACAACTGCCCCCCCAAAAAAATGCAGTAGTTATTTTCATGAGTATTTTATATGTGTAATATGCTAAATTGTCCCCCATGTTATGAGTTGAGAAAGGAAGTGTTTTTGTAGTCAGTTCTGCTGTCTGTGTGCATCATGCTTTTGGCCTTACTGAACACAAGTACCAAACAATAGTATTTCAGTAGAGGTGGTTGTTTTCAGTATTTAACATTCTTAGAATTGGCTTCGTGAGCATAGCCTGGAAGCTGATTGGGGTTACTGATAAGGGGAAATGGTAGCTACCACCACAGCCAGGCACAGCTCTGAGAACTTACTTTCTTTAAAGAAACAAAACAAGACCTGGGGTATTGGAGACTCAACCCCTTGCAGGTGGGGAAACTGTGTCCCATTGAAATTAAGGCCTCTGCAATGCTGCACACCTAGACTTGGGGTCTCAGCTCTCATTTACTTTACTTACAATGAAAGTGTTGAACAGGGACAGTGGTCACAAAGAGGCCATCAGGTCAGTCCAGGACTTCCACAGGTGTTTGTAACTTGAGCTTGAGTGTCCTTGGGCAGTGAACCACTGTCCCACCATCGTGGAATACTCAGCTGCTGGATGTGACCTCAGGATGCTCTCAGCTCACAATAATTTACATCTTGGAGCTTTTTATGATTTTTCATGATCAGTCACTTCTGTAACAGCCTGTGTATCTCCAAGTCGGCTCACTCTTTGGTGCCAGTATGCTTTCAGTTTGCATTTTGAAGAATTTCGACATTTGATTAGGCAGAATAGTTTTAGAGAGAGGTGTAGACATGCAGCTTCCAGGGTGTTGCTGTTATTGTGTTATTTAGTTCTGCCGTAGTTCGCCTTTTTAACAAAACAGGGAGTAAAGTTTGGGAATGATGGTGTCAGAGCTGAACATGTTACATGGTTGGAGAGTGAGCGAGGCAGGCAGTAGCCGACTGTGTTCTCCTACCTTTCTCTCGCTTATTGCCTGCCCCCGTGGTTTTCAGTCAGCGTACCTCTTACACTGCTTTTCAGTTGCCAGGTGTGGTTATACTGACACTGTTATAAAATGCTTCCTGACGTGGGGAATCCCTATGAAGAACTTTCAGAGGTTGTCTTGTTTCTAGACACTGAAGCATGCTCCCCTCCCCCCACTTTCCATTGAGTGATTGATTGTGGACCATTTCTTATGACTCACACATTTTACAAACACTGCTTTGCTTTCCATGAGACAGTTGTTTGGAGGACTCTCTCATTTCCTTTCCATGTGCATCTGTCTTTCTTGATCAAGTATTTATGAGGAATCCCAAGAACAGATATTTGCCGATTCAGGCTGCCTCCTGAGCTTGCATGCCAGAGAATAGTTTGCCATTCTTTGAAGGTTAGGTTGTTGCAGGCTGACAAGCAATCTCCCCTCAAATCTGTGCTGATGCAGAATTATGTCCTGTTGTCAGACCAGGAGGATCTAGGAAGCAGGAGCCTTCTTACTGAGGCACGGGGATGCTTCTACAGATGGGGGTGGTAGGGGTTTGCTTGGGGGAAAAGACAATTAGGGTACAGGAGCAGGATCTATGAGGAAAATGCTGAGACCAAATCCCTGGTGCTTCAAAGAAACGGAGTAACATCTTACATCCCATTCCTTTGGGAATGTATTTTGACTTTTTAAAAATAGCTGGACATTTTAGTTAAGAAAATGAACCCCAAAACTGCTTTGGGAAGCACCTTATTTTGTGTGATAATTTGTTTCTTTTTATAACTACTTTGTAAGTCAGTTTTTATAAGACATATTAACTACAGATAAGTCAGTACAATTTTAATAATTTTGTACAAGTAGTGCCACTTTAAAAAGTGGCCAGTGGTAAAGGAAAACTGTTTTGTTCAAGTAGTTCTTTGCAGATAGATATCCTTCCTGTCATTAAGTGAGACCCCCATAGCATTGGACTGCAGAGAATAGGTGAGCAAGAGGAAGTAGTGACTTTTCTGTTGAAGAGCACACAGCACTCACTGTCTCCCCCTCCAACCACACAGGACCATCACAGTGCCGCTCAGAGGAATATCTCCCTTGCCGTATTTGTGATTTGTGTGCATTGTATTTTGATGTCACAGATGCTTTTGTACTTGAGGTATACCTTTTATTTTTTTCTCTAGTTACAAGATGAGGTGGTGGCAGCAGGTTAGGGACAGGACGTAAGACTGGCACATCTCTACTAGTTCAAGCAGCGGAAAGCTTGGTGGTTTTTAGACTCTGAGTTGCTCTTTCAGATGAGGCCAGTGGATCAAGACTTTCTCATGTATTGTATCCCCCACCTCCCAAAATACAACTAGAATCAAGCTTAAGCAGTAAGAGGCTTACTGGCTGACACACCCTGATGTCCCAAGTTGTGGGTGAAGCTTTAGGTAAGGCTGACACGGCGTGAGCTGTGGGACCAGGACTGCATTAGTGCCGCTTCTTCAGCCTCCCTTCTGTGGTGTTCCCCAACTCATAGGGTGCTCAAGGATCTCTTCTTATGGTACTCAAATGAAGATTTGACATGTTTCCAGCACTCCTCCTGGAAGCTTCTTTGAGAAGCTGGGACTTGCTCTCATTGGGTCAAATGGGTCATCCCAACCTGTGGCCAGTGGATTCAATGTGTTAATGAATGTACAGCACCAGTTCAGCTCTGGGCTAGCTGCATGGCTCAGAATGGGGAAAAGCAACTTTCCCAAAGCTAAGTTTTTACTTGTATTGCTGCAGAAAGAGGATGGAGACTGAGAAGATAACCTACAGATGTGCACTATTGGTAGAAGATGGCTGTGAGGCTGACCCCCGCCTCAGTGAGCACACTACTTTTTATGTGGTCACTTTATGAGATTGTGGTCTGTTTCCTGATTCCTCTTGATCCAAATTTCCCTCTTACAAGATCACTTCAATGGAACCACCTCAGTTCAGTTAAAGAAAGCATAGGATTCTTAGTTAAGGGGAGACTTTGAGTTGTCATGAGCTACTTTGAACACTTAGTGTTCTTTCGTATGTCACAGAGCAGCTGTGGCCACACCATGTTCTGCTTACAGACTCACTTTTCTTTAACTGCTGATCCGACTTTGTGATTTTTGCACCACTCGCAAAAGTGAGGGCACAGTGGGCTGGAGCCAAGAGTCATTTGACCTCTCTTAGTGTCACTGTTGTCCTTTGCATCCCTGTTTTACTCTACCACTGCAGGTATCTGAGTTGTGAGCTGCTGCAGGGCCTGGGCGGTGTCTGAATGTGCAGAGGACCTGGAAAGTGGTCCCTGTGGTCTGCCTGCACTGGTACTAGGGATCTCTGAGAAGTGTTTGGGGTAACTTGCTGTTGCTGGCACGCTGCCATTTTGTTTCTAGTTGTTGCTCTGGACCTGGTAGTCACTGCTACTTCACTGCTGTTTCACAGTAGCCTTATCTGTGTGGCAAGTCATTTCTTGGAAAACCTTACCTTGGCATCACTAGTGGGTTTCTGTGTCATGCTAAAAAAGGCATTCCTTAGTACTACAGGGAAAAGTGACTTTCTCAAGGAAAAGGGTTGCTTTTATTGCTGAGACGAGAGGGTGGCGGTGGAAGAGATGGCTCAAACAATCCAGTGTTGTTAATCTGTCTCCTACATCTTCTGTTTTCACTCTCATTTCTTCCCGTGACCCAGTAGGGGCATTTAAAACTCTAGGCCTGTGGGAGTCTGAAGAGTACACTCAGCCAATGTTTTTTGGTGAGTTTTTACTCTTTTTGAGAGTTTATTTTTCCCAGGATTGAGAGCAGGAAGCTATCAGGAAAGGTGAAAACCTTCCCTCTTCCCTTCTCCCCTTCAGTTTAGGCTGTGTTTTCTGACTTTTGCTGAGACACTGATGAGGCCTGAAATCATATGAAACACTGGCTGTGAAAAGTCTATGGCAAGTAGAATGTGTGCATTCTCTGTGCAGCTGTTTTTTCTTTTAATAGTGTGTGCAAGCAAGCATATAAAGGAGCAGCTCATGTCGTGACCTAGGAAGTCTGGTAGTGTTTACTCACATGTTGATTAAGAAAAAATATGGACAGCATTGAAATTGAAAATAATTTCTTTATTGGTACATATACTGTAAAGCATAAATAGTTATAAAAGTTATTTACAAAAATGCTTGGGAAGAACATTTGGGAGATTGGATGAGTGTCTCCTAGTCAGGTAATAACAGAGAAAGAACTTGTTTGTAACTTACAGTCATTTCTCCAGCCATCTGTTTTCCAGAAAAATATGATGTGTACATTTTCATTTCCCACTCATTCTGTTTTAGACTTACTTTCTAACCAAGTCCATTTGCTTTCTAAGAAAACTGTCTTCCCCCATCCCATAAGAGAAAAATGTATGTTCTAGAGAGTGTGTAAGAGAGAGTGTGAGTGTAAGTACCAGTGCTTGAGAGAGTGGTGTGGTGAGAGTATGTGTGAGGGACTGGGAGTCTGTATTGTCCAGCAGGGGAGGTTGCTGCCCACACATGCCAGTATCTAGCTGCTTTCTGTAGAGTTCACTTAAAATACTCTCATTCCAGAGCCCCATGCTTATTAAATGGCACAATAATCTTTTGCATAAGGTATGTATTTAACATACACACATATGCACATATATATATAAAACCTTCAAAATGCTATCAGAAAAATTACATTTTTATTGCAAAGTACATAACTTATATCTGCTTTCTTTGACATGCGATGAGATAAATTAGTAAGGCTTCTCATAAGTAAATGTATAGATGTCTGCAAACCCTGCTTCAAATTAGAGAGAACTGACCTTTCCACTACAAACAACATTTTTTTGTTTTTTTAATCAAACTCTGCCTGTTCTTAAATTGGTCTCTAAGAACCGTGTTAAAAAGGACCATACACCTTCCTAACTTCCTGCTTTTAGAGAAAGAAGATTACCTATGTGAATATCTAAAGTTCTACTTCAACTAGACTAGTTATTTTAAATTTAAACCTATGATTTTGGTGGCGTAGTATTAAATAATTGTATGTTAAGTGTTTTTCTTATTAACAAGAAAAATAAAGGTCATTATTAGAAAAATTTGCTGATGGGATTTTTTTGTTGGAGTTTAACCAAGAAGTACGGAGACTTAATTTGAACTTTATGATTGTACAAAGTATTTGGATAATGTTAGGCATATTATCCCAGGTGTGTTTCTTATTGATCCTTCGTATTCATGACTGTGTAACTGAGGTGACAGCATGTATACCTGAACTTCATTTGGAAGGGGGTTGGAAGTTCACAAGGTATCAGTGCTTTCATGAATTGTATTTCCCCTTTTGGCTTTGGAAGTGTCTAGGTCACACTGAGCTTTTAATGAGATGTGTAACTTCTTACATAAAGTTTCTCTAAATGGCTGGCATACAAGAAATAAATGATGGGGTCCAGACACACATTTGCAGCAGATAGTAGCAGAGTGAACTCTTTCACATACAGCAGGATTTCTTTTGCCTGGCAGCTGTAATGAGCTTCTGTTTGACTCTTTGTGTAGGGGATTCTGGCAATGTGGTAAGGTACAAAACAGACAAAAAATACAAGTACAATGCTGAATATGTTGCGGCTGGATTTCCTTTTGACCGAGGTGGAATTCCTTCTGGACTTGAGATGAGACTTAAAGACCTTCCTTGTGATGGCCGTATAGAAAATGATCAACAGGAGAAACACAGCCCAGAAGATGCTCACGAAGATGTAGTTCGATGCTTTGTGCCACTTTCGTCCCAGTTCATTTTTAAGCTCCATGCACTGTATATTCGTGACATCCCTGACACTCTGGTTGGTGAGAATAATGTTTGGGACGGCGAGAAGGAGCATGAGCACCCACACCACCACGGACAGCAGCGAGCTGTAGTTCACCGACTGAATGAAAGAAGTCAAAAGGGGCTTCACGATCTTGTAGTATCTGTCAAAGCTGATGAGCCCAAAGAACACGATGCTGACGTACATGTTGACATAGAAGAACACAGCAGAGACGCGGCACACAAACACACTTAGCTGCCAGGGACCCAGGCCAAAGTCCCCCAGGATCTTGAAGGGGAACGTCAGGGCCATCAGAAAGTCAGCAATAACGATGTTCTTTAGGTAGACAATGAAACTCTTCGAGCTGGGCACGTAAAAGAATATCCATCCCGACACGCCATTGAGGATGATCCCCGCGATGAAGACTGTGCAGTACAGTGTGGGGATGATCTGCTGGGTGATGATGGTGTTCCGGGAGCAGAGCTGGTCTGGAGGCTGGGCCGTGCTGGAGTTGATCATTGCAGAACTTGTGAAGGCAAAGCCTGGGAAGACATGGTGTTAGTCACTCAAGGGAAACTTCATACTCAAGGACACTGTGGCTGAGTGATAAAGTGTAGGGCAGGGAATACAGACAGACTCTTCCAGCTGTGAGCTGTTTACTCTAGAGTGGTTAGGCCCTCCCTCCCTCCCCTCTTCCCCTGTCTTCCTTTCTTCTTTCTTTTGGAATGAAAAGGGAGGAATAGAGCAGAGAGATGACAGTGAAGAAGAACTGGAGAAGCAGGGCATTGTGGGAAGTTAGGCATATGAGTATCAGCTTTTCCCTAAAATGCTTCTGGTTTCCTTTAAATTCCACAGTTCTAGGACATGCTTGTTTAAATAGAGTCTTGCACAGTGATAGCTGTAACAGCAGAGTTAATCTTACATCTCCTCAGAACACCTTTCCTAATGCATTTGGTCTCAGCTTAGATTACAAATACTGTTTTTTTCATAAGAGAGATTTTATGGGTTCATAAACATGAATCTGAACATTGCCTGCTTCTAGAGCGCTGTTGTAGCAGACATTTTTTTAAAAGCCTTCCCTGTATATATATTTTACACAGAAGGTAACTGTCTTATACATCTAAATGTTAACTGGCATTTTTAATTTGAAATTATGGGTACCTTTTCAAAATGGAGCTTTTCTGTGTTTTTTTGTTTTGCCATTGAAAAACTGGTTGCATTGTTTTTATAACTGGAAAATAAAGACACAAATGATAAAAATCCCATAAAGACCCAAGAACCTTGTAGAGCTGCATGGCCTAGTGCATGACCCACACATAGCTGCAGACTACTTTAAATGTGTCTGCTGCAGACTGAGATAGACTGTGAGTGTAGAACACACACTGGATCTTGCACAATGACTATGAAAAACTGAATGCAAAATATCTCCGTACTTCAATGTTGATTACATGTTGAAATGATGATGTTTTTAGACATAGGTTAAGGCAGGGCATGGCAGTACACTCCTGCAATCCCAGATACCCAGGAGACAGAGGTAGGCCTGACCCAGTGACGTCCGGTGGCTGGAAGTCCCATCTTGAGGTGATCATATCTGTGTCCGTGGCTTCCAGCAATTAGTTCTGGATTCTTCTATAGCTTAAGGAGCCTAGCCCTGTTTTTCCTTTATGTAGATTTGCTGTTTGATGCTGACTACCTTGTCCTCACCTTTGACCTCCTGGCTTGGATACCCTTCCTTTGGGAATCTTTGCCCTCCCCAGCCTGGGTGGGGTGCAGGTTCCCTTCTGCTATGGTAGCCCCTTCCAAGGGGAGAGGCCATGCCGCTTGTCATTGTATTCAGGACCTTCACATCTAGACCAGGATCATGGTACAGAGAGATGGTGGAGGACAGGGGTTCCTTAGGTCAGAGATATATCTGGTTTGTGTTGGCATTTCTGTGCCTAGTGCCATACCGTGTGCACTGCAAGTAACTGGCTATGCTAGCAAGATTATGGAAGTGTGAGAAAGGGGGAATTTGGAAAGAATGTCCTTGCCAACCTTGCAAGACTGTCTTGTTCTGGTGTTTGTTCCCTTCACCTGTGCTTCATAGCAAAGCTAGATATGTTTAGAGCGGCCTGACTTTGTCAGCCTGTGCTCTTCCTGTGGAGACAAGATTACCTTCAATTACTTCCTCCACGAAACTCTCATTAGCTCTTCCCCTTTCACCTCTTCTAGCCTTCTATGCTTGGCTCTGGGCTCCATGCCTTGCTTTGTCAGTCTCCTGTGGCCTTTGGGCATAAGATCTTTCTTCATACTGTGTTAGTTAGCTTTCTGTTACTGTGACACAATGCCTGTGATAACCACCTTGCTGTCAGTTTCGGAAGCTTCAGTCTGTGATTTTTTTTTTTTTGGCCCTGTTGCTTTGGGTCTGGGGCCACTGGTCAGGGAGTCAAGAGTGGGCTACCTGCAGTCCCTCCAGGGCCGTGTTCTCAGAGACCTCAAGCCTCCCATTATTTTCCATCTTGTAAAGGGTCTGCCTCCTTCCAGTAGCAACACATGGGGGCCACACCTGTAACACCCACATTAAAAGCACAGTGCAGATGTCAGATGGGGGAGGGGGAGCCCGTGTTCCATTTTTAACTGTTCACTGTAGGAAGAGTCATGTCTAGTAAGTAACCCCGACAGTTGGTGCGTGTTTATCTAAAGCCCTCTCTGTGGAGGTGGAGTGACTGCTGCCCTAGTCTCCGGCCATGATGGGGGCTGCATGGTAGGCACTCACGTTTAAATTAGACGTTATTTTGAAGAAGGGACATGTGGGCTGTGTAATCTCTAGTGAAGTAGTGAAGAATTCCCCAGAAATGATATAATGAGAGCCAGTTCCTTTTCTTTTAAAAATACTGTGGAAGCCACTATGTATAGAAAGAGCAATGGATTTCTCAGAACGCATTTCATGAGAGACGATTCCTTTCCCTACAGAAATCTGTGTGGGGTTGTTGTGTGTCCTGGGACTTGGAGAGCTTTGAGCTGTAGCATCTGCTTAGGGACCCAAGGTTACCAGTTCCGAATTCTGCCTTGTAAGTTCTGTGTCCCAGAGGTAGTCCTCTGGCTGGCTCGGGTGGTTCCCAAACACCTTGGTGCTGTTTTGGCAGCTTTGGAGTCATCACAGATGGAAGTGTCAGTTTTAGGATGGAATAGCTTGACACTGCTGGTTGGGGAAGGGGATGTTTTCTTCCTGTGTGGTGTTAAATATGCCAGAGGTTCGAATGAGGGCCAGTCCTGTCAGCTTAAATGAAAACTCTGAGTAATGAGCTAAGAATAAATTCTAAGATAGGTTTGTTTTTTAAAGATAGGATCTCATAATCCAGTCTGGCCTAGAACTTGCTATGTAGCCCAGGCTAGCTTTGAACTCGTGTTACTCCTTACCTCCTTCTTCTAAGTGCTGAGATTACAGATGTGCACTACCACACCAGGCTCCAAGACATTATTAGCTGTGTTTTTTGAGCTCTTAAATATTAAAAGAAAAATTTTTTTAGGTGGTGGTGTGTTGGTAAGGGCCTGGGGCATTGGCAAGTGATAAGTGTGTCTGTCCAGTGGGCTTGGTTATCCTCAGAGTGTGCATCCTTTTCTGTGGGTGGATCCGTCCAGTGATGAGTGGAGAAATTTGTGACAAGGGACCAGTCAAGGTAGTGGAGTGACTCAAGGTCATCTGCCTAGTAAGCTTGAGGACCTGAGGTCAAACCCCATTACCTCAAAAAAAACCCAACAAGGTCGATTTCATATTGAGACCAAAATGCAAGAGTATGTGTTGGGTAAGAAGCTGGACAAGGTCATGTTGACCTTCTAATATGTGACCAGTCTCCTTATCTTTAGTGGATGATTTAATGTCCCACAGTGGAGGAATGGTCACTTCCTGATGTTGACTATAAGCGGTTAAAGTAAGCGAGGACCAAATGATGAGAAGAATAGGAAGAAGCTGTTGGCGCAGCCAGCAGCTCTATACCCCAGGCTCTCTTACTTAGTTGATTTGCTTCTTACTGACTTTCCCCAGTGTGTTAAAGGGGAGAGACAGGCAATAAAGAAATGATGAAGATAGGAAGGGCCAACTGAAAATGGACAAGGGGGCCCTCTGGTGAGCCAGAGGTGGCTGTGTCTGTGGAGCCCTGCTGTGGCATTGTTGCTGAATTTCTGTAAAGTGATTGTTATCTTAACTTTGAGGCATTAAGAATGTAAAAACTGCTTCCTGAGTACCTGAGAGTATATTTAAGATAGGCTTTCTCTCTCTTTTTTTTTTTTTGGCAGCACTGGGATTTGAACTCAGGGCCTCACACTTGCTTAGGCAGGTGCTCTTACTGCTTGAGCCACTCCACCAGCTCTTTTTTGTGAAGGGTTTTTTTCGAGATAGGGTTTCACAGACTATTTGTCCGAGCTGGCTTAGAACCAAGATCCTCCTGATCTCTGCCTCCCAAGAAGCTAGGATGACAGGTGTGAGCCACTGGTGCCCAGCTAAGACAGATTTCTGTATGGGGCTAAGCTTCTTAAAAAGGGATTCTTAGTAGTGTAGGTCTTCCTCTTCTCACAGGTGGAAGCCTTCCCTGTTTCACAAATCGAGATAAGTAGGAATGAATAAGTGGTATGAAATGATTCAACATACACCTGCCTATCCATCCTCATGTTAAGTCTGGTGACTCTGAAAACAAAAGAATAGTGCTGAGGGGATGTATGAGGCCTGAGAGCAGGTGTCACAGGAGTGTCATGTGAATTTCTTACCCCTATTTGTTCTGCAAAGGTAGAAAGAATGTCAGTGCAAAAAGATTTAGTCTGATGTAGATAGGGAGTGAACTTGACCCTTATTGAAGTGTGAGGTCATGGGATCGTGTGGCATTGCTTTCAAGTTGAGGAGTGCATGGACAGGATTTACTTGACACCAGCCTACAGGGCAGCGTCAGCCAGACTTGTGTCAATCTTAGCAAAGGCTGAGCTGAGCTCATGCCTCATTTTCTGTGCATTTCCATACAGTGTCATCTTTCTCTTTTGTGGACTGGCTTCTACCATCTTCACTGTGTGTGTGTAATTCTGCGTTCTCTGAAGAATAGAAATGATTCCTTCATGGCATTTCTATGAAATTAACAAAGCTCTTGACGATACCTGAAGGTTTTTTTCAGTTACCTTTAAAACTTTTTGCATAGAGTGAGGTTTTCCTTCAGTGATGTTGTTGAGCCCAGTGAGTACTTCTCATCTCAAGGTGACCTGGGTATTTCGTCCTCAGGGATTCTGTGTTACAGGACAGAAATGAAGAATGTTTCATTGAACAAATCCCAGACTGTCTTTATTGAAGACTTACCTTTAAGATACAGCTTGTATATTTGTGAACTGTTTCAACATGTGCAATTGTTTTTTGTTGTGGTCATTGTAATCAATATTGATTATTGATCTGACTACAAGTGCTGGTGGAAAACTTAGAAACTCTGCTCAAATGCTGGCCAGAATGTTTTTTGTTATTGGTTTGTATTTTTCTCTGTGGACACAGATGCTTAAACTAGTTCATTAAACCACTGAATTTAACGGTTTATCACTTTAGCCTGGAAATCATAGGTCTAATGTTGGTGTTCTTTTTTTTTTTTTTTTAACCCTTCAGGTTAAGTGTTGTTGCTCTTCGTTGTGGCATGTGTGGCCTTGGTCCTGATTTATCTCCATTGCAGGTGGTCTAACCCCTAACCCCACCATGTGACCATCAAAACTGTTTCCAGATATTGCTGCTGTCCTCTGGAGAGCAGAATCAACCTTGTTTGTAACACTGGTCTGAGGATGCTGACGTGTGGGCTTTACCCTCTGATAGGAAGAGGGCAAGTTTGGAGGAATAGTGGCTGGACTTGGTTCTGCCTTGGTCTATGTTGTTGCTTTTCTGAGTCCTTTAAACTGGTGATTTTGAAACTGTAATGTGCAGGCATGTTACCTGGGCTTTGCTAGTATGAGGACTGAGACCCCAGTTCTGCTGGCTCTTTTTGAGTGACATGCTACTCTTTTTAACTGTACAGGAGGTATTTAATAAATGGAGAGAGTGGAAAAAACTTGCTTATTATTTTTTTCTGCATAAGGACTCCAGACAGGAAAATCTAGGACCTTTCTTAGAATTTATTCATTGCAGATTTCATTGTAATCAGTCTCATTGGTGTTTCTTGGAAATATAAACAGATATATTTTATCAAAGCCTGCTTGGAAATAAGCGACTGTGATCACCTAGACTATTCCTGAGAGATGATGAGATTGTTTTCAGAAAGGCAGGACAACAGGGAAGTTCTCTGTGGAGTGCTGCACACCATCCTGATGCCAGCTCTGAGCAGTGCTGGGCGGGAGGGGTGGGCTGTAGCTCTGGCACCCTACTTGCTCCCAGGAAGGAAGCAGGATGGGGGAGGGGGTGTGTGCCTGGGCTTTAGCTTCTCTGTTATTATTTAATAAGCCTAACACAGTTTGAATATCCCTTCTCCAAATGTCTAGAGTGCATAGTGTTCTGGGCTTTGGAGTGTTTGCATGAACGTTTCAGGTCTAAGCATAAGCTTCATTTCTGTGTCCTATGTACCTCATACTCATGTGTGTACCTTATACACACAGCCTGAAGCAATTTTACGCAGTATTTTCAGTGTGCCTGAAGTAGAGTGACCCATCAAGGAAGTGTCATGTCTCCACTCACAAAGTTTGATTTTGGAGTATTTCCAGCTCAGCTCTGGATTAGGGGTGTATAACCTGAGTCACTGTTAACACTAGCGACTGATGCATTAACGTAACTGCATTAGTTTTTGTGCTTTTATTTTTATATATTTGAGATATTTTTAAATAAGAAATGAAGATGTACCCGGACCCCTCAGAACCTCCTCATCCACCCAAGTGTAAACTCAGCTCTGTCTTCTCTGCCATCCATTCCAGACTCCAAAACTCATGGGATCAAAAGTGGAAGTTGCCACTATAAACCCTGCATTACCTGTGAGAAAGGGGTGGATCGGAACGGATGACAGACAAGTCCCTTTCTTCTGAGCACTTTGAGCAGAACTTGTAACAAAGTGCAAGCCTGGCATATCCTGCTCACAAGAGTGGTCTGCCTTTACTGTCTTGTGGTGGTTTGAGCAGATCATGGCTGCAAGGTGTAACACAGGCACCTGGAACACTCAGATGTGTGGTCCCACCAGCTTCTGAATGCTAAATGCTGGAGGCCTTGACAGTGGGACACATGACCGGCCTTACACCAGCAATTGTGTCTGGGCAGTCAGCATGAATCCGTGGTAAAGTCATCTGTTATCTTTGGAATGGTCCAGGGTTTCTTCACCCTGGCACTCTTGACATTTTGTCTGGTTCCAGTCCTCTGTGGGTGGGTGGACCTGTGCACTGCTGGGTGTTCAACAGCCTCCCTGACCTCTCTCCACTAGGTGGCAGTAGCACTTTGTTACTGTCTCCAGATCTGGTTGGTACCCACTGCAGCAGCCCCTTAATGGTAGGTGTATTTGATAGCCTTCTGACTCAAGAAGAGAATTTACCTGCTTTCTTGTCAAACTTACCTGTATATGGAATACTTCATTAGCAACAAAGAATCCATATGCTGAGGTCCAGGAATGTGAACTAGGCTCTGCTTACTGCTTTGTTGGAATGGTGGGCAGCCAGTGCAAGTAGTGATTTGAAATTGTGACAAATGCTAAGTGTCCCTATGCATCAGTGTTTATATCTCTAAATTGAGAGGGTGGTCGGTACCTGTGGGTTTCCATTTGTGGAAGCATCCTGGTGCCTGGTGCCTGGCAGTGTGTGACACTGTGGCAACTCTGGGGTTCAGGGGTGATGCAGCTGACATCAGAATATGCAAATGCCTGTGGGACCCCCCAGGCTCCCTGTCCTCCTGGGGTTGTGTCCCTCAGATTTCCCTCACCCAGTTCTGCACTGAACACAGGACTGCAGGAGGCCCAGAAGATCCTGTCTACTGAGCTCCGAGCCTTCTTAGGTACATGGTTCAGCAGTGCTTCCCTGGGGAGGGGAGGAGGAAGCTGGCTTCCCATGGGCCCTCCAAGGTGAGCAGTAGGAGTGAAGTCCCGGGTGCTTTGTGCTCTGCTTTGGCAGTACCTGTAGCTGAGTCCCTGATGCAAATGACACAGAGCTCTGAGGAGCTCCTGCTTCAGTTTTTGACCTGATGCCTCTTTCTCTCTGGAATTAGGTCAAGGGGCTTGGATTCCTGAGTTTCTTTCGGCCTGTTCTTCTGTGGCAGTGTTTTGGAATAAGGGCTCTATTCCCCTGAGCCAGGCAAGGAAATGAGCCTCCAACCTCTTCTGGCCTGGATGAGATGGTGTTTGCATTTCCCAGTTAGGCAAACAGCACTCAGATCTTCAGATACTGCTGCCCAGGCCATTAGTGGATGTTCCTTTGCTGTGCAGAAGGGAACATTTCCATTTCTGAGAATGCAACAGCTGTCACTCTTCAGCTAAAGAGCAGCCACCTGTAAGGCAGGGTTATAAAGCTGAGGGAAAAGAGTGTATATGAATACCCTGCACTCTTAGTGGGAGTGGAAATACTGTGCAGATGCACTCCTTTCAAAGTTAGTAGAACTTAAGTGTGGAATTCACATTTGAAATCAAAGTCTTATTTTGTTACTGGTCCTAGGCTGGCAGATTGGGGTCCATTGCACAGTGTTCATGTCCTTTTCAGGCCATTCCACTAGTGATTGTTTTGCCTTTCCAGTGTGTTTCAGCAGGACTCGTCAACACAGTAGAGTGGTCTTATGTCCACTGACACCCGTGGAGCTGTCAGTTGCCATTTCACCATTGCCACAGATGCAGTGTCTCTTGCAAGCATTCTGATAATAACAAGTGCTCCTGCCTGTAGCCGGTGCTATGGCTTTGTGCTCCTGTTTCTGCTTCCTTGGACCTTGTGAAACTGGCCAGGACCAGTTTGGTTTTACTTGGTGGTCCCATGGGTGCACCCTGCAAGTACTTCCTCCTAATCTTACTTTTCTCTTGTATTTTTACTGTCTTCCTCAGGTTGGAGGCTGTGTCCCTTCAACTGCAACCTACTGTAAGTCCATACTCTTAATTAAAACAGTGAAAAAGGTCTGTGGATAAAGAAATGGTGACTCCTCAGTATGCTCAGGCCTTTTTCATCCTTTTTTTTTTTTGCACTGGGATTTGTACTTGGCCTCACACTTGCTAGGTTTACTAGGCAGGCACCCTATGCTTGAACCATTCTGCCAGCCCCTTTTCCATCCTGTGTAACAAGAACCCTTGCAGATGGAGAAATGGCAATGCCTCTTGCTTCCAAACGTCACTTCCCATTGGCTCCTTGGAGAAACGTACAATTTCAAATCAAGTATGGGTGACTGTGAGCTGAGTTGAGATGTCCTGCGGGCAGCAAGCCAGGAAGTGGGGCATGGCGAAACAGGGCCGGGGTGCTGACTCAGAGGCACTTCTAACTTGGGGTGGTTCGGGCACCAATAAGAATGAAAGTAATAGATGGAGGCACACTAGATTTGAGAGTTCGTAGTGGTGTTCGGCATACAGATTAGAGGAGGGAGGTGAAATCAGGAAAGCTCTTCTCTACCGAATACCAGCTAGTAAGGGTAGAGGAAACAGAAGAATTACGAAGCCACCATTTTGCAACTTGAGTACAGTTGGTGACTCGGGCAGTGATATTCCATGCCAGCCCAAAGCTCTTGGCTGATGGTTGTAAGTGAACAGACTCTTCTAGTCTGAAAACAGACCCTCATACCCATTAGAATAATAAAGACAAAAATTGGGTCTCCTCAGTGGGGATTACTGGTGGTCACTGACTGATAGGACTTCCCCAGAATGGGATAACTTGGCACTTTTTGCCTCCTGCTGGGATGCAGTGAACTGTGTACAACATGCTTATGTAATTTTGTCTCCAAAGCTAGTCATGAATGAGCATTAAAGACAAAAGTAAATGTGGTGAAGTCTGTGAAACAATCAGCCTAGACAAAACAAACAAACAAACAAAAAACCCCAACATGGTGGATGGCTAGGGATGGGGAGACAGCAGTTGTAGATTAAAAGAGGCCAAAGAGAAATAGCCCAATAAGTTGTGATTTGTTGATGGAAAAAGCAGCCATAGAAATTGTTTTGGGGACAATTGTGTAAATATGTACAGCAATATATTACTGAATGAATAGTCATCACCCTGGATTATTAATAGCGTGGTCAGGTAGGAGAATTCAGAGATGCCTAGGGACCGGTCATGATTGCCTGCAACTTAGTTTCAAAGTGACTCAGTATAATGAAACAAAGTATATGTGTGCACATACTTGTGCTCATGTCCTCTTGTGTTTACTATAGCATAGATGCATTATGTAGGCGCATGTACA